GAATGGGAGTTGATGGGATCGGCAATTGAGCGAATCCGTACAGGTGATACTTGAACGTTATCTTCTTTGTTCAAACGACCGCTGGACAAATTGCGCTGACTTCTATCTTGAAAAGGGTATTGTTGCCCATCATTTGTCCTCTTATTAATAGCACTTTGGTAGAATGAGATTGCAGTCCCTGGCATGCTTCGTTTATTATCCGCTGGTCGAGATGAGCATCTTAAACTTAATTGTTCTGCGCCAATTTGATGAGAATCATAGTAGTGTGTCCAGCCACATTTCTGCAATATATACTTCGTGTTGGCCCTTGTCCAACAAAAGAAACTTAAAAACGATAATATTACTGAGATAGAAATAAAATACATTAATTTAGCGAATGGATCAAAATATATTAAATATTTCAATAATTTGCTGATTCGCATGCAGTTATTCACTTTTTTAGGAACTATGCCAACTAAAATGTATTGGTTACAATAAATACACTTAATTGAGTCAGTTTGTATATTTTAATAAAATTAACAAGCCAACATTTAGAAACAAAATTATTCCTAAATATTATTCCTAGCTGGTTGATTTTTTGTAATAAATAATTAGGTACAGATGTTATATGTTAATAGGTTTCCTTTATTTACTATCGTGGAGTGAAACTAGTAGACTAAACGTATCCCTCGTGTCATAGATAAATGATATTCATTCACATTCATTAAAAATATCGTTCTCTATTCCACTGCATCTCATCACATGATAAATTGATTATCATTAATTCCACCTTCGTTCAATTGGAAATGTGTATAATAAGAAACGAAACGTTGTCCTTCGACAATCGTGTAGAATAGCGTGCTTTTATGTGACATTTTTGAGGACAAAGTTCTTTTCCTTTCTTGTTTTTAATCATGTCAAGCGTTGATTTTTTAATTGCATTTCATTAAGTAGAAGCATTATGTGCAAAACATATTCGAAAATGAGATATTGAAGCGAGCAAAACAGGCAAAACTTATTGTAAACTCCTCACTAGATGAACTTGAACGAGTGGCGCACAATATGTAATTAGATTGTATTTAAGATCCTGACCATGAATGGTACCGAAGTTACGACAATCGAATAAAAAGCTCCTAGCCCGTCAAACTTACAGTAGAAACATACAGTGACCCAACTTTTCTTTAATTACTTCTTTTTATGGCTCATCAGCACATACAGTAGCCTATCTCCGATGTACTTTTGGGAGATGATCCTGAAAAAATATTTTTGCGTATAAATTGGACCAAATTGGTCCACATTTCACAAACTACCGTTTTTTTACTGTTTTTTGAAGAAAAATACAAAGTTCAATATATGTAACTATTAATATATATTGTGGTATCTCATACATTTCACCCTATAATAATTAAATTTATAATATTTTACTGCACCACTTTGGGCCTGCCATTGTAGTAACTCGTAATTTCTCTCTTATAAAATCTCTATCTTTATAATTTAACCACACTATATTTTGTCTCTACAATTTATTTTGTAATTAAATATAATGAAGTGGCTAGCTCTAGGTTTTATTAAAGTTTTGGGCATCAGCATACTTACATTTTCTTAGGGTATTGTCATTTTTCTTGTGGGCTAGAAAATATCGCTCGTACGAGTATTCGGATGGTGAATAATTTTATTTTGTTAGGAAATATTCCTTTTCAGTTATTATTGCTTCGTCATTTCATTTTCTATTGGTTTTAAAGTTCAACAATATTTCATTATATTTTTCTAAAGGTTACCTATTTGATGGCCATCGAATCTCTATAAAAAAGCAACATAACAATTACTTTTCTATCTTAATATTATCATATAACTAAACGTTACTTAGCCTTGCTACAATCTTTTTGTTAAAGTCTCTCTCCCTCTAATTGTCTAAACTACCCTTTTGAAGATTCTCCACCATTCTTGGCGTTGTAAACGAAATCAGTAACTGTTCCATCGTTCCATCTGGAGCTTTTCTCATTACTACACTGAATTTAGCTTTAAGTTTATGGCCCCATTCGCAACCTCAATATTCCACTAATATTACTATTTTCCCGCTTATAAGAAATATTTCATTATCATCCCTATTCTTTCATACTCGCGGGGCACATTTCCATTTTCTATCAAACACGAACTCAACAACAAATACTTTCACTCATCGCCCTGACGGCCATCGATCCTCCCGCTACAAAATCCAAACTAGTTCTGTCTAAAATTGTTCGCTTTCACTTACGATGTCTTAACCAGTTTAATTGTTTGATTGTTATTACTGTACATGGATGCGCTCTCGTAGCACCGCAACCATGTATCACGCGCCTCTTGTCTCCTGACAACCATGTCTTATATTCTTTATATTCTCTGTTGTTTTTTTTAATCCTAAATTGTCCAAAATTTGATTAGTCTATATAATATTTCGATTTTCTGAAACCTTACATTCTAAATGACTCGTTTTAATTTGTGTCATTTCGCAATTCCTTATATTTCGCTTGTTATTAGGCATTAATGTTTTGCTTTTTGAATTCAAAAATCCCGTAAGGTATTTTACCCTGCCTCAATATTTAGAGATTTCCTCTCTGATCTTAAATGTAAAATGTAAAGGGGGACTACTACATTCGGGTCCTCAATGTGGAACGAAATTAGCAAATTTCTTCAGGAATATGCATTATGGATATATGTTTTGAATTCATGTTTGCTAATTCGGGGATTTTTGGGAAGTTTGAAAGGTGAGAGGGTTGGAATTTGAGGTAGCCCTATCGCCTTTCAGATGTTGGTCGACCACCAAAGAGTGGAAGAATGGGAAGATCAGTAGGTCCAACAGGCAGAACAAAAATAACAAGAAGAACAAGAAGAACGAGAAGAACGAGAAGAACGAGAAGAAAGAGAAGAACGAGAAGAACGAGAAGAACGAGAAGAACGAGAAGAACGAGAAGAACGAGAAGAACGAGAAGGACGAGACGAACGAGAAGGACGAGACGAACGAGACGAACGAGACGAACGAGACGAACGAGACGAACAAGAAGAACGGGAAGAACGAGAAGAATTCAAAATAAATATCCGTACGCATGCCTGACTGGCCTAGTTTGCTCTCCCAGAAGTAAAACTAAAGTTCTTGCCCCCATCTATCTTCTTCATAGTATCTGAAATAATATAAATATTTAACGTGGCGGTTAGGCGGAAGAGCAGGCCTAATGGTATGAGCTTCTCCACAAATAAAGACAATTTTTTTATAATCATTTATTACCATCAATCCTTCCGCGGAATAATCTTCCCTGGCTGCGCTTTCGCGTGGAGGCAGCTTGAGCCGCCGCTATGCGGTCACGCGTGCGCGCGTGCGGGTGCGTGCCAGCCGCGATGCGCCGAGCCTCGCCGCGTGCCGAAACGGTGGCGGGTTGGCGGCCGTCCCGTTGCGACGTGTCGCTGCTCTGCCCGAAAACCCGCCCGGCGGAATCCCGTATCGCGACCGGTGTCATGCCGATGCACACAGCCGGGGCGTCGAACCTACTGATTCTGTTTTTTTTGCAGACGTTTATCTCCGATTGTCTGTTCCGGGAATTGTTTCGCATTTCTGATTAATACGTTTCAGTTCGTTGAGACTGATTGTGAACGGTTGCCTGTTTAAAAATGCAATATCTAAAATAATACGAGGTTGAGTGCCTAATGGTTAACTCTTATTTTTGTCATTACCTTTAAGACATAATTTTTTTTTCTCATAGCTAATAAATACTTTGGCACTGCATAAATAATAACAGTTTACGACATTATGTCGCGTTAAATCAAAGTGACAATTTCAAAGTTGAGAGTTCTGAGAGTTCGCCATCGAAGTGGCTGAATTTTGAAACAATGGACTGTAATGATATTGAACGTAATTAATTTCCATGAATACCATAATAGTTAATACTGGCAAACAATAAAGCTGGCCAATTGTGAATGGCAGCCACAAAACGAAAATGGAAAGAATTCTATAACAGCAGGTCAAATGGTCCTACCTTTCTCCCGTTATCGTGTTCTTCAAATTTGCATTTTTGCAAGTCTTTACTACCATCTGGTTGTCTCATTAAACAGGCAGAACCACGATATTCCTCAACTGTAATTTGAGATACGGTTGATATGGGCGCCTTCGAAACCATGAAAATCTCTTAAACTTAACGAAATATCCTCTCTTAGGCAAAATTTGGAGTTAAATTAAGCATAGCTCGTTGAACTCAGTATCTCGTTATTATTTTCCTTTTAAGTATCGGAGAATAATTGCTTGTCATAATACTTTTCTCGCGTAATGTTTCTTATGGTCTCAGGAGACATGTAAAATGTGATGTAATGAACATAAGACAGTTAAAATGTTGTGAAAGAAACGAAATAAGTATTTTCAAGCTTTATAGAGTTTTAGTTATCAATAAATGAACCTCTTAAACTCTTCTCAATTTTAATTAATATTTTCAGAGAAACATTAAACTTAGTGTGAAAGATATTATTCTTTCGTTACTTTTAATGATTAAATTGTAACACTGAAAATGAAGGATAAAATATTTTCCTTCTCTCGGGCATCACAACTATCTATCAAATAAATGGGAAATGTATTGTATTTCACTAGTTTTGTAGATGTGAATGATTGCATGATACATATAGTAATTCTGTATTAATACGTGCCCGCTTTTTATCTAGCAAATACCCTACTTTCGAAAAAGCTGTGTCAACTTTATCGTCAAGAATATGTGTCTAATTCAGAGATCAGTTACTAATAATATAATAGTGTTTTTTTTTTATTTTACAAGAAAAATAAGTATTGGGCACAATATGTCTACAAGTCGAGTTCCAAATTGAATCCTTATTTGAGATTGTATCATTGTTTTCAATTGTATCCTTGATTCACATTGCTTTGAAATAAAGCCACGGTACACTGAAAAATTTAAAAGTAATTTTTTAAGTACGAAAAAACATAACTAACTTAACATAAATGCAACTTTTGTTATCTTCTCAACAATAATTTGTTTATTTTGTTTCAGGTAAAGAACCGACAATACCTTTGTCGCACACAGTGCCAGCCCTCCTAATCGTAAGTAATTGTCATGGTATGTAATCACGTTGAGAACTATGTTGACTTGATATAGACTGACGTACATCTTCATTCAGTTGCATTTCATAGACAATTAATACAGCGCAAAAAATTATATAAGCTAAAAACTCCTACCGTATTAACAATACCAAAACACTTGTTCAGGGATTTGTCTCTTACTATGAAATATTAAGGAGGTAAAGCTGATTTTAGGTAGGATTTTAGGAAAAGAGTTAGAAAACAAGGTTCAACAAGGGGAAAAAAGGAAAGACTAGGAAGAAATAAGAAAGACAAAAACCTATGGATCAAAAGGAACTAAAAAGAAAAAAACGAGTCGAAACATAGGTAAGAAAAGAAGGTAGAGGAAAGAGAAAGGAGAAGCGGCAAGGAATAATAAACTGTAAAGAACGACTCCACGCTCAAGAGCCAGTACATTGGATAGACTACCAAGGAGGAAAGAGAGAACGACAGCGAGAAAGCA